AATGCATATAAAAAAGGGGGGCGCAATAATATAAAAATAATAATAATAAGAAATGCACATATTATATTTTGTTCAAGTGATATGTACTTTTTAATCAAACCCATAATCTCAATTTCGAGTCACAATTTCCTCTTAATATGATTTTTACATAAACACCAACTATAGAGTTATTTTCAAAAATTCCAAAATATAAGACATTTTGTGTCGACACGGCTTCACATATTTAATAGTAGGAAAATGAGTGAGAGCACACATTAGTGCTATCACTAATGATGTGGCAGTGGATCCCACCAAGAATGATTTGATGTTTTGACCTTGGTGTTGTATTTTTTTTCTTTTTTTATTGAGTGTCATGTCATTAGTGATCTTTTTAGAGCTCCAAAAGTAATGGTCTCTATCATTGTTGTTAATAGTAACACCATCTCAAGGCTTCACACATTTAGTATAGATAGATAATAGTATAGATTAAATCATACTCACAATAAGGTTATGCTAACCAAAAAAAAAAGAAAAAAAACCTAGATCTCGAAGTAATTCATTACAAATAAAATAATAATAATAATAATATTAAAAATACAATAGATTTATGGAACACCTCTCCCCCAACCCAAAAAAAAAGAGGATAAATAAACCCACCACCAATTATTATTGACATATAAAGCATCAAACTACCTACCCTATCTCTTCATTATTATGCCAAATGCAGTTGCTTCAAAGTCATTTAGTTTTAGTTGAAAGTGTAAGAACTACCTGATTTCCCTTTCCATTTAGTTTCAATTGAAGTCCAACATGATCAAGTACTAGAAATCAGAATGATATAAACAGACTAAACTCGAATGAGTTAGAGGGGAACGACATAGAGGTGGTCTCTATCATTGTTGTTAATAGTAACACCATCTCAAGGCTTCACACATTTAGTATCTATAGATAATAGTATAGATTAAATCATACTCACAATAAGGTTATGCTAACCAAAAAAAAAAGAAAAAAAACCTAGATCTCGAAGTAATTCATTACAAATAAAATAATAATAATAATAATATTAAAAATACAATAGATTTATGGAACACCTCTGCCTTGCTCCCCCAACCCAAAAAAACAGAGGACAAATAAACCCACCACCAATTATTATCGACATATAAAGCATCAAACTACCTACCCTATCTCGTCATTATTATGCCAAATGCAGTTGCTTCAAAGTCATTTAGTTTTAGTTCAAAGTGTAAGAACTACCTGATTTCCCTTTCCATTTAGTTTCAATTGAAGTCCAACATGATCAAGTACTAGAAATCAGAATGATATAAACAAACTAAACTCGAATGAGTTAGAGGAGAACGACATAGAGGGCATTCCAGCTTTTCATTGCACCACTCCATAACGCAATTCCTACAAAAGAAGACAAAATGAGAGAGGGAGAGAGAGGGAGAGAGAGGGAGAGAGAGAGAGAGAGAGAGGGTAAGGACGCAATACCAGCAGAATACGTGACCACAAGGCGTGGCAGTTGGGTATTGGCGATTACTAAGGCAAAGTGTACATTTGCTGACTCCACTTGTTGCTTGAGACTAAACAAAGAAAGTCAATCCACAATGGTGTTAGTAGCACATAAACTACTTTGAATTGCTCCACATGATAAAGATTCATTTTTTCATGATGGGTTCTGCTAAATAATCTAGCTAATAAGATCAACATGCATGCCATAAGAGAAGCATGTGAAGCATACCTCTATTTGGCACAAGAAGCCTACTATGATTGAGTTATATGAATGAAAAACAACACATGACAAGCCCAAATGGAATATGAACAGAAAGAGACACAGATCTGTTTAATATATGAACTATAGTGTATTTGGTGCTTATGGGATCACAAATTTCACAGATAGTTGCCAGGGTCTAAATAAAGAAGATACATGTGCTCCAGGATTACATATGGTTTTTCCTTTAGCTATATTTTACTTATAGTTACAAGAACACTATTCTTAAAATCTTCACTATAGTGAAGCTATCTGATCATCATCACCATCGACATTCTGATGAAGGTGAACCACAACCTCATTTTTATGTCTGCTCATAAGGGCACATAAATGGGATAATATGTTCTTTCCTCTGTTTCAATTTTAACAATTTAACCTAAATCCAGGCATTTTTGCACTGACAAAAAAAATAATAAAAAGAAAGGGAAAAAAAACCGTGGAGATTGAGTGAGATTATTGTTTGATTGCGAAATTGGAAAATTACCTCTGAAGTTGATGTGGAATCAGAGACCCAACTTCCCTTCTCAGAGTCCCCAGTTACCAAAGTGCCGTCTTCATTTAAAACAGGTATGCCTCGCCCTACAAAACCAATGAACAAAGGGGGGCACAACATAGAGCCACAGTATGCAAGGTCCAAAGTTCAAATTGTTGCCAACTAGAATTGAAACTGTATTAGAATCCAATGTAAAGGTGAAAAGGCTAATATCATATTCCTGTTCACTTGTATTAATTATTTTTCCTCTAAAAACCTTGGTGAAGCTGCAAAAGTATCAAACTGAGGTGACAGCAAATCCATTGGATCATAAACTCTCACGTGAGAGTTTATCTTGCACACAAAAAATGAGCTAGGCTTCCATCACACAAAAGAAAAATAAAAAGGCAGAAGGGGAGGGATGGGGGGGTGGAGGAATTGAGTACGATATAAATAAATTAGAACCTGCGAGCATGTGTGTGTCCCTAAAAGGAGGGAGGGGGGGGGGGGGGGGAATTGAGTATGATATAAATAAATTAGAACCTGCAGAAGCATGGTGTGTCCCTAGAATGCTTGGTGAACTGAACTTGCAATGGAAGATAAATTGCTGCGACGTAGTCCTTCAGCAGCAATGATGCATAACTGAATTAAAAGGAATACCCCCAGTATTTGGTATCTGCATCGCAGGACAATTGAGTTTTGATCATCTCTTTGATAAATCATGAAAACAAACTGATCGGACTCTTGGGATGATTTATACCACCTAAACCAAACCAAGCCTTAATTCCCATCAATGGGGTCGGTACATGAATCTTTCTTCTCCACGCAGCTCTATCAAAGGCCATATGATTTATACACCTAAAAATAAAATAACAGGCTGTTGTTGCCCATCAGCTATAGCCTCACCGA